TCAGAACAGTGGGTGGGGGAGGAGGAACTGCATCTGCATCCTGGGTATTGCATCCCTGGCACCTGGGTACACATTCAGCTCATTCATGAAAAAGGAAATCCAAGGCCTGAAGTGGGAAAGCAACTCAGCCCAGCGGGCAGTCAGTGCAGCTGGTCCGATGCCCCGAGGCTGGGTCCTGAGCACCCAGCTCCCTGCAGACACTTCTCTTTAGTACATTTCCCAGGGAAAATGGTCTGGTGGCTTCAGGCCCCAGAGCACATCACGGCGGCCGGCCCCTGCCCGGCGCCACCAGGCACCAGGGGGCCCTGCTCACCCGCTCCCGGGGCCCACCGGGGCCCTACCTTGTATATACACTTGTGGAAGTCGCTGAGAACGCCTCTGTCTTCCTCCTCCTCTCTCACCACTTCCTTTTCCTGAGCAAAGAGTCGCCGCCGGCCCGTCTTGAGCTGGGCCTGGCCCACTTCCTTGAGCTTGCTGCGAAAGCCGTTCCTGTGGGCCACGCCGTTGATGAGCCCGTTCTTGGGCTCGAAGCGGGGCAGGGGGTGGAACTTGTTGTAGTCGTGCTCCGTATGGCCCTCCAGGGGCCCCTTCCGCTTCTCCAGGATCTCCTTCTCCATCAGCACCTCCTTCTCCAGCCGCCTGTGCTCCTCGGGGGACAGGGAGTCATAGGACAGCAAGTACTGGCAGTAAGCCTCCTGGAGCTTGGCCAGCCGGTCCTGGGCAGTTTTGGGGATGCGCAGCATGTCCGCGAGTTTGTTCCATTTTTTGAGGTCAGTCACTTGCTGCATGCCGCCCATCTCGTTAATCAGCCGGAAAAAGCAGGCCAGGTCGAGCTCGCAGCCTCCTGGGATGGTGAGGGGAGAAAACACAGGGACGGTCAGTGAAAAAGACCATGAACAAGACTCTGTCATTCACCCGAATCCTCAGGTGCCCGTGTGCGCCAGGATGTGGTGGGGCTGTGGGGTCAGAACAGCCAACAATCATCTTTGATCTCCAGGGAGCTAGTCTGTGCAGACAGACCTTAAGATGATTTTGGGCACTAAGGGGATAAATAAAGCTGACTGAGGGGCTGGAGAGTAACAGGGGCTATGATCTTAGGTGGGATTACCAGGGAAAGCCTCCCAGAGGAGGTGACATTTAAGCAGAGGCCGATGGTAGGTGAGAGCTGGCATGGAAATCCATGGGGAGGAACATTCCAGTGTCCCCTCCAACAGGGGCAGCACGTACTGGTGTACGTCCTTCTAACACACCCGGACACAGGTGTAATGAGACCAGGAGCAGCAGCCCCATCCCTGGTGAAGGAAGAGCAGGGCCTGAGTGTGCGACTCAGCCATACCCATGTCCCAATGTCACCTGGAACATACACACACAGGTGTTGTCCCACTGTCCCTAATACCCCCAACACACACACACACACACACACACACACACACACACACACCCCACCCACCCCTGAGGTTATTTTCAATCCCACAGATTTCAAGGGAGACAGTCACTGTTCAGGAGGGCACCTGACACAGTCTGCCCTTCAATTTCCCCCATGGTGCACTCAGAGGGACTGCTGATTTCAGAAGGATGGAGGCAAGTTTTCACTACATCCCTTGATCAAGTTACAGATTTTGTAAAAATGCACGTCCACTCAAATATGCTGGAACGCCTGCACAGTGACGATCGAGACCAGGCGTGGGGAACCTTTTTCTTCCAAGGGCTATTTGGCTATGAAAAAAGCTAGACTTACTGAATTCCAAGTCCCACCTGCAATTGTCCTGTCACCCCAGTGGCCACAGTGGCTCTGATCACAGGTCCCACTAGAGGGGAGGCCAGCCATATTTTTGCCTTTTTCTCTGAGATTATCATCAATAGCACTTCAAAATTTACCGTTCTTGCAAATCCATTCAAGACTCCTCACCTGCCACTATCAGCCTGTTCACAGGGCCACCATGCTGCTAACTAGCAAAGCACCTCCCTCACCTAGTCCGAGCTGACCCCACTCCTTGCAACAGCAGCCTCCCATCCACTGTTGGTGAATTCTGGCAAACTGCTTCAAAACTACTAAGTCCCACCCTAGTCAATTTGGCTCAGTGCTTAGAGTGTCCGCCCACAGACTGAAGGGTCCCGGGTTTGATTCCGGCCTTGGTCTCACACTCAATCCTGGGCCCTGGTCAGGGGTATGTGGGAGGCAACCAATCAGAGAGAGAGAGAGAGAGTGTGTGTGTGTGTGTGTGTGTGTGTGGGCATCTCTCTCTCTCTTTCTCCCTCCCTCCCACTCTCTCTGAAAAGCAATGGAAAAAATGTCCTCAGGTGAGGATTTAAAAAAAAAATTAAAAAAACTATTCAGTCTCTTGCACTTTAAGACACCTGAGCTCAGACCCACACCCGAGGCCTCTGTGGGTAACGGGCAGGTCAGCACCCCTCTCACAGACAGTGACAATGCTTTACACTTGGGACAAAGAGCAGGAGCAGGTGCGCGCGCGCACACACACACACCGGTGACTGTACCTGACTCCTGCAGCTATGGGAGGGAGTCACGGTTAAAGAAATCCTACTCTGAACAAAAGGTGGCCAGCTGGCATCATGACATCACCACCTGAGCACTCCACCATCCCTAAAAGACCACCACTCGGGGTGGGTAGTGAGACTGGGGACATCTCACTACAGCTGGGAGGACCTGGTGCTGTTCTTAGTCAACCCAATGGCCGGAGTGCACACAGGGCACAACCAACACCAAGCTCCCAACACGCTCACCTGCTCAGCCCATTCCCACAGCCCCAGGTCACTGTCCATTGCAGGCCATCCCTGACAAGGGACCACAAACCAAGAATTCCTTCAAATTAAGTGATTCTCATGCAGGCATTAGCCTGGCAGGCACCTGCTGAGAGGAATAATGAAACCTTGTCTCACAAGGAATGCCATCTCACTGCCAATTCTTGACACTTAAATGGCTGTTAAATGTCTCCTTTTCTCCCAGCCTTTGAAAAATCAGGATCTCCAAAACGGAGGCAGGAGCACACAATTTCCTTTCATGGATCTAGAGCTGAAGGGAAGTGGGTGACCTTACCCAGCTGTCCTCAAAGGAAACCCAGTCCACAGAGCCCACTCAGCCCTAACAGAGCAAGCTAATCCTGGAGGAGCAGGGTCCCGGAGAGACACGGACAGGGAGCTTCAAGGCCTGTGAATGGATGCGGCTGGGGGCCCAGGGTCACTCAATGCCAATGCGCACCCATTAGTCAGCAAGCTGAGCTCTGCAACCATCTGGCCAGAGCTGTGCCTCCTCTCGGGAGAAATGTGTGCGTCCCCTGACCTAGGGGCTCCATGAGGGCCAACCTGGCCCCACAGAAACAGAAGCTAAAGTAAAAATGAGGATAGAGAGACAAGGAGTAGACAGAAGATGGGCTGAGGTCTCCAAAAGCTCATGGGCTGAGCCCTAACCCCAGTGCCTCAGAATGCAACCTTATTTGGACAGAGGGTCCTTAAAAAGGCAAATTAAAGGGTGAGTCCTAACCCCTATGACTAGTGTCACCAGGCCAAGGGGAGAGGCCTCGGGGCGGCTGGCACCTTGATCTTGAACTTCCAGCCATGAGACTATGAGACAATGACTTCCTGCTGTTTAAGCTCCCGAGTCTCTGGTACTTTGCCAGGGCAGCCAGCCCAGCAGAAGAATCCACACGGGCAGCATCCCATCGCCCTGGACACTGCTCCAGCCCCTGCAGGACGTAGGTGACTACCCAGCGGGGAGAGCATGAGCCCTACTACCATAAATGCCCAGGAGCGCCAGCTTCCTCCTGAGCAGCCAATGAGCCAGGGAAGTGCATCCTCCCGGGAAAAGGGAGAGAAGCTGGCATCACGGATGGCTAGTGGGCAGGGAGGGCCTTACCTATGAGCGGGAGCTCGTCCATGGTGATGCCCTGAGATCTGAGGTGCTTCTTGATGCAGGCCAGCCGCTGCACGTTGGGGCCCCAGCGTCGGCCCAGCTTGTGGATGTGCTGGATTTGCGTGACGAACCGCATCTCGTCGTTGAGCTTGCACTCAGGCCGCCAGTCCGGAGGGGGGATGACCCTGCACATGCCGTACTTCTCCACCTGAGCGCGCACCGACTCGATGTAGACGAGTGGGTCGTGGAACTCCTTGGCCGACGGCCTGAGCACGGGGATCTCGTCCATGGCCGCCCACCCGACCCGGCCGGCCCCCTTCTCGGGCTTGGCTGCCGCCTCCTGCGGCTTGTGCAAGGGCTCCGATTGCGAGGTAGAACGATTTTCACAGGAGGTGCCGTCCTTGCCGTGTGCTTGTCTACCCGGCGTGCTCCTCCCGGCCGCGGCCCGCTTCGGCCGGTTCCTCTCCAAGCTCCGCTCGGGCACTTCCTTCTTCATGTGTCCGTTCAGCAGAGCTCTCTCCGCCGGGGCCGGCGCCGGGGCCGGAGCAGGGGCAGAGGCCGGGACCGGGGCCGGAGCAAGGGCCGGGGCCGGGGCCGGGGCTAGGGCTGCCGCCACCTTCCTGCCAGGGGCTTCGGCAGAGCCGGCCACCCCTTTCATCTTCTTGGGGGGCGACTGCGGCTTCTCTGCCTGGTGTGCCTCTTCCAGTCTCCTCTTGGAATTCCGCAGCCCCTCCCGCAGTTGCCGCCCCCCCACCTCCTTAGTGCATGACTTTGGGTTCAACCTGCCACTGACCTTGAGGCCGTTGACGGCGGGCCCGGTGGACTTGGACGCCCCCCCGAGGGATAGCACCTGTTTGCGGGTTTTTGCATTGCTACTTTCAGTTTTCCCTGAGATTGTGTGGTTGACAGCTGAACTGGGCTTGTGGTGATTGGGTTTGGTTTCCTTGACCAGTTCTCTCTTGGCTTTGGTGTATGTGACAGTCCCCTTAGTCACCGTTGCAGTGTACTTCACAGTTTTGGACGGTGAAGGTCTGACTTCGCGCATCTTTTTGGCACTGGTTGCACTTGTACCCAGAGATGACATTCGAGTGACTCCGTTTACCTTCGAAACCTGGGAGGCAGCAGGAGAAGCAAAGGGCAAAAAAAGGAGAATCAGTACCTGCCAAGAAGGCAACCTCCACACACTGGTAACAGAGACAAGGGCTACCTGCAAAGGCAAACAAAATACATAGCCCTGAACTAAACTCTGGGTTTCAGAGTCTCTGCATGACTCCACACCCACCCTTCTTTTTCCTGGTGTCTTAACACCCATGTGTTCCCATGGCTCTTCCAGGAAATCAGATGTTTCACAATGAGGACCTTTCCACATGCCCGCCAATCACCTGTCACAGGTTAGGAGCATTTCCAACAGCAAGATCCTGCCCATTTGGGGGGAAAAAGAGCATGTACAATGTTCACCCTAGAGTAATGCAGGGGGTTAGGGGCACCAAACCCTACCCTCTGTAGCTGAAAATCTGTGGTAACTTTCTGACTTCCAAACACCCAGTCATCCCTCGGTACCTGCAGGGACTTGGTTCCAGGACCCCCATGAACAGCAAAATCAGTGGATGCTCGAGCCCCTTGGATAAAATGGCCTAGAACAATGCATGCAGCTGGCCCTCGCATCCAGACTCCCAAGAGCAGTTCAAAAATACTGTTTCCAACCTGAGGTTGGTTGAATCTGAGGATGTGAAAGCCAAGAATATGGAGGGGCAACTGTGTATTTACTGAAAAACAGCCATGAATAAGTGGTCAGTCCTAGTTCAAGCCGTGCTGCTCCAGAGTCAACTGTACGCGTGCGCACACATCCGTTCTAAGAAAAGACATGCTTGCTATTCTGTGTGCTCCCCTTAAAGCATAATTTGCCCGAAGAATTTAAAAATCTATGTGCTAAAAAAACAAAACAAAAATATTGTGGAAAAAAAGAACAACAGCCCTCATGGGGCTCAGCTTCACTGCAGACGTGTGGCCACCGGCTGCGGGCATCTGTCCATCTCGTCATGTTTGAGACCAGTCCCATGACCCCTTGCAGCTGTGCTAAATTCCAGGGCAGGGGGCAGGGGTGGGGTCCTACTTTCTCACCCTCAAAACTTCCACATCGTGTTCCAAGGGAACTGGGTGAACAAGCAGCTCTATGAAGGCCGCGTCACGGCACCGATACCACAGTAACTTCATCACACACACACACGTCACCCTCATTTATAAAGAGGAGCCAGAGTAGAGTGATAGGGGTGAACACCAGAAATGCACTGACTTTCAAAGGATGAGGAAGGGTCTGTCCCAGCAGCTGCTGCTGCGCTGGCTGGTGTGGGGTAGACACTGAGTCACAGCTCTGCCTCTCAGTGACCTCTGACATGTCATTTAACACCGTGGGCATGAATTCTCATTTGCAAAATGAGTTAAAAACCCAGAACTCCAGGACTCTGTAAGTACCACAACCTCCTAAAGAGGCAGACCAAGTATCACACAAATCTTGCGGAACGCAGAGCAGAAACAGCAGCCCCTTCCTCACCAAGAACCAGAGGAGGAGGTGACGGTGGAGGAAGCCTGCACTTCCAAACAAGCTGAGGCCCAGAGCAGCTTTCTCCGCTCAACACCCAGTGCCCCGGGCTGTGCAGCTGCCTCACCCCAGGAGCTAGGGTCCCCAGTATGGGGCCTGACACTCAAGTAACCTCTGCTCTGTGCCTAGGCCTACCTCAGGAAGAGACAGAGGCTGCTTCAGTGGGGAACAAACACAAAGATCAAACTTTTCCACAGTGTCCAAATCAGTGGTTCCCACTGGGCCCCACCCCTGAGGTTCTTATCCAGTAGGTCTGGGATGGGCCCAAGGACCTGTATTTATAACGAAGTTCCAGGTGATGCTGAAGCTGATCTGGGAATGTGCTTTGAGAATCACTGAATCAAACTATCAGCAGAAAGTTCTGAAAACAGAAAAAGGAAAGAAGCCACTGAATATGCCACCAATTTTACGCAGTCAATGAAAGCCTCAGATTCTTGGTGTGAGACTGTTCCATGAGCGAGGCCTGGTGTTCAGTGAGCAGGTTTCTGGTGAGCCGCCTGGACCTGTGAACTCAGTGAGGCACAGGCCCCACTGGAGGTGCAGGGAAGGCCCAGGCATTACAGCCTGGATTCCCCCTGCTGACCACACAATAAAGCAGCAGGACTGATACGACCAGGTAGGAAAGAGAAGGGTCTGAAATCAAGAATGGAAAATTAAAAACAAAAAACTAGCAACCTGGCCACAGTAAATTAAAAACAAATTTGTAAAACAGGGAGGAAGGGCAAAGACAAATTTTCTATGGTGAAGTCTGGAATAGGAGGTATGGTGAGGAATGCAAATCTCTCTAAATTTTCATCATTCTTTCAAATCCTTCTATTGACTAAAAAACAAAACAAACCATTTAGAAAAACAAAAGCAAACAATAAAATGCTGCTGGCTCAGAGAGACTTTCCACCATCAAGACACTGGAAGGGCTCCAATCCCAGTAAGCAGAAGATGGGCCCCTTCAGGCCCTGCCTCCCTCTTCCTTTAATCATTTGGAGTCCAACTTGTTCCAGCTCCTCCCAGTCCACACTCAGGCAGACGGCACTGGACACCGGAACCTCTTAAACGAGGGGCGGAGCCCCTGTGAATATTGCCACCCCCACCAACACAGTGCAGCTGTCAGTCACATCTTGCACAGGTTTAGCATCAGTGCTTCTCAAACCTGGGATCCCGGAGAACCCCTGCAAGAGCCTAAAAGTACCCCTGACTCCACAGTCCAACCCTCTCTTCCCTCATTCTGATTTAACCAGTGAGGAGAGAGGGACCGGTGTTTGCAAGCCCTTGGATGGCTCAGTGTTCCCACAAACATTTTGCCCCTGCCCTTCCCCCACATCACTGTCACCTGTGGGAAGCCAGAGTCCCCACCTCTCAGATTCTACCTCAAAAGAGAGTTCAGGGCCCTTCCCAGAGGCACCTGACCTCTGGCTGGCTCGGTTACGGAGCAGGTACATTTTCTGCACGGTGGAATTCTGTGTATTTCACCACCTTCAACGGCAAAGAGATCACCTTTTTTGTTTACATGTTTCTGTAAACTTAAATACTGATCCCTGCCAAGAGGGGCAGCCAACTGCTTTGCTCTATCAGAAGAATGAGCTGCTCTATTCACTTCCTCCCCCACTGTCCTAACCGTCACCTTCCGAGGTACACACAGATCTTATACACCATGTCCACATGACAAGCTTCAAAACTAAATGTATCCCCTTCACGACCCATTAGAACAATGGACTTTAATTTAGAAGAAATAAACTGTGAAGACTAGAAAAGGCATGATTCAGTAACTGTATTCCTTCTTCCCACCCCACAGGCCACTGAGGGTGCCCGTGTTTCCTGACCATCCCTAGTGGCCACGATGCAGCTGACAAGCCAACCCCGGCATTGATCTGTCCCACCAGCTTTCCATGTGTCCTAAAGGTAGGGACAAAACAGAACCAACAACCCAGGACCCACAGATGCATATTCCTTGCCTTGTACTTGTCTCTAGGGGCCCAATGTTTAATTGGTACCACAGGAAACTTAGGAATGGAGGAAGGCATTGCTTTCCCTTGCCACTGGGGTCCCCCAACCACTGCTTATCAAATAGAACCAAACACCAACTTGGCCAGCTAACCATACGGGCTGGTATCACTGCTGCTGTCCTGAGCAAGTGCTCACATTGCACACGTGAGAGGGGGTCATTTTAGTTCACTGGAAGATTAACACAGCGGTGGCTTACGGCAGAGCCCTCCCATGTGCAATGAAAACACTTTAACTTCACACGTCTTCTAGTGGCTCTTCCCTTGCTCTGGTATGGATTTCTGACTTTGCATCCTCCTGTCCCCAGCTCTCACCCAGCTATGCTGGAAGTGGGGCGATTGCAGTTTGTTCTCCTTGACCTACCACCATCCACCTGTCACCTGTGGCTCAGGTTACCCCAGGCACATAGCAACCTGTCCGAGTTACAGAAGCCACAAATTCAACTGTCAAGCTCTTATTTCCCACTAGAGGGAGCCATCAAGTCAGGTGCCTCTGCCCACCCTTTCAGAAGGAAGGTGAGCAGCTAGGGAGCTCAGGAGAAACATGTTAGTTGGGAATGATCTCCTTGGGCTTTAAAACTTGAATTAAAAAACAAAACAGCCTAAAATAAGCAAAACTCTCCTGGACAGGCAGTGAGTTTTGGAAGGGGAGGGAAGGCCTGCTGATATGGCAGGCGCCTCGGTTAGAGAAAGGGCCTAAAGACCTAAGCTAATGAGCAGCAGGACAAGGAACCCGGTCAGCCCTACTCCAGGAAAGGAACCCCTGGGCTCTGCTGGCAGTCCCTGAATCTTACAGCACCTGCTCCCACTGCAGGCAACTTAACTGAGTTACAAATACGACTTGACCAACAAGCAATTCGAACCACCAGCCTAAGCTGATGATACAGTGAGACCTCATCTTGATGGTTTCAAAATTATCCTTTCATTTCTCACAATATCCTTGTATGAGTTGACATAATTGGCTCCAAGAGAACACCAGGGCCCAGAAAAGTTAAGTATCACATCTTAAGTCCCAGAGAGGGTCATGGTCAAAGCCAAACTACAAGTAGGAGCCCTGGGCCATCCCATCTGGGTTCACTGGGGGGGCAGGCACAGTCAGGAAATCCCCAGACCACTGGCACAGTTACACTCCACTGCAAAGACACTAACCACAACAAAGCAAGCAAGCCAGGCTCTTGCACTTCCTCAAATGGCAAGGGTCTGCTCTGTAAGGAGCACCCGGAATTCTCCTCCAGTGCTAAGGCCACCCATGCATCCTATGGAGGAAGGGGCAGGGCGATCTCAGGGCAAGGGGCACCTTCTGCTCCCCCTTCAAACCTTACTTCCATTGGTGCAAATCCCTCATTGGTCACAAAGGGAAGTTAACTAACACCAGAGGTTTACTCAGTCCAGCCTCAGACACACACAAGTGAAAGAGAAAGTGAGTGTGTTTATGATTCCACATGAATATAAAATCACATATCGGTTCCTTACAAGCTCTTTGTCCTGCCCTGCAAGGGTCCTCGCCTTCTCTGGGTCCCTCTTTCATTGTCCTCAGTCATAAGCAAAGCATCTGTGGGAGAGTCTGCACAAGTGCCTGTCAGATCATCAGCTTTGGAAATGGAACGGAGATCATTCTTCAACAACACAGAGACCAAGGGGACGGTGCGCCCTGTTCTTTGAGCCTCTCAATCCTGAAAACGGGGCACCCAGAGCCTGGGGAGCCAACTCCACAATCACATCACGATGCTCAGTTATTCCCTCTAAGAAAATGAGAACGTTTAAAATACACTAAAACCACTTGCTTAGTCTCAAGATAGCACTGCAAAGGGTGATGTGGGTACCTGAGGACTTTGGGAACACACACAGGAGGATCCCTGCCTCATCCACCCCACCCGAATTGAAGAGCAGAACAGTATTTAAAAGCTACAGGTTAACACTAATAACATGTAAGTACACACACCCCTATGTACATGTATGAATATAGTCACATAGAAGAAAAATATTCCTAACATCATCAAGAATGAGAAAAGACCACAGGTAAAGAGAAACTCAACAAGGAGGAATTCCTCTCTCCCAACACCACAGTGGTGGTGTCTCAGCTGCTCAGGAACACTGCCAGCCAAGAAACCTCTCCAGGCCACCCAGACCTCGCCCTGAACCAATCCTTAAAGACAGTCTCCCGTCTACTCTAGGGGAAAATCTAACTCTATGTGATACAGTTCTCAACTTGGGCTCATCTCTGATCCCCGGGCTCCCTGACTTTACAACAGTGAGAATAGGAGCAGAGGGGTCAATGAAATGCCCCCGGGAATAGGCGAGACAGCCCTTCTTGCACTGCCTCTGGGCACCTGCCTTCATCCCAACCATCTCCTCCCCAGGGTCCTGAGAGATCACTGTGTAAAGACGTAGACACTGTGACAGCAGCAATGGCTGAGCCCTGAGGCCATTCTTTAGTTTCCCCACCAGGACCTGTGTTTTCCGATCTGATTGAAATGAGGGCAGTGGGGGCAGGAGGGCAATGTGCCCTCACTCTGTAGAGCCCCCAGCAGGACTGAAATGTGCTCAGCGGAGTCGACACCCCGCTCACCCCACACCCCATCACACACACACAGCTTGCGGGCGGCACGCGGCATACAAGCCCATGCTCGTCCTCTGGTCAGAAGTCCTGGTGGAGAGACGCTAACTTGTCACATTAAGATGAACAGATAAACAGTTCAGGCGCATCCACTGACAGCGCAGGCAGCCTACCGGCCTGTTCCAGGGTGTAACTCATCCGCTCCTGGCCTAACCAATAATGGGCCCCAGGACTCTGTAACTCAGCTGGCACCGAGGGGAGTTCCCTTTCCAATCCATCCCAATACATGAGGCCCAACAGATCATGGCACCTAGCAACAGCAGCGCCTGCCGGGGAGGAAGGCGAGTCCACCACTGGCACTGCGTGACAGACCTTCAGAGGAGGAGGTGTGTGTGCTCACACCCCTGGCACGCAGGTGATGTTTTTCCCCCCAGCTCACCTCTGAGTATCACCTTCCTGCTTTTTGAGCCCTTGAAACATGGGTTTCCTGAGGCTACTACTCCTATTTTCCCTTCATTTGTTTAACTTGGTGACGTGGGACAGTGGCATCTAGCAGGCAGGCAGGCAGGCAGCCTCTGGGCCACACTGCGGTCACCTGTGGGGGCAGGGCCAGGCTTTACCTGCTTCCGTAAGTCCTGAGCCGACCGATGCAGAGGGGGGTGGTGGTGGTTAGCAGCGGGCCCCTTGGCCGAGGAGCCCGTGGAGGGGGCCATGGGGGGCTGGGTCGCTGGAGCCTGGTCCCTCCGGCTGTCGGCCCGGTGATCACTGTGCTTCTCCTTGCTGGGAGTGGCCTCCTTGCTTTTGTGTTTTTGAACAGGTTCTTTCTCCCGTGATGACCTGCTGGAACCGTTGAAAACTGGGAAGAAAGAACGGAAGGATCAAGTCACAACACTGAGCATACTGCCATGAAACCTAAACTTTCTGAGGTTAGAAAGAGTGAGAAAGGCAACTTTCCACACATCAGGTCTCACCACACTAACAAAGCAGCCCCAGGTCAGAGCACTCCAGCACCAGAAAGCAGGGGCGCACTGGAAAATTACAGGCCTATCTTAAGATATTTGCTTTGCTTGAAATGACTGAAAAGCCCATTTTTAAAGATCCCTACCAAGAAACCCCAGCAGCCCCCAGAATATCAACATCATGCCTTAACCCAGAAAAATTAAAACAAAGAAACTAACACCAGCAGTCATTCCAAGAACAGGAGTGCGTCGTGTACAAAGAGACAGGGGATCTGGAGTAAGATAATATGTTCTCAGACTTAAAGTTATGCAATTTGAGACTGAAGATCTGCCAAAAATATGGGTCAGGGATGCAGCTGCCTGGCCTGGCCCATCTATGACCATAGACAGAGGAGAGAGAGGGGCAGGGGAGCACGGAGTCAGGCCCCCTTCTATTCCAGGAGCCGTAACAGCAGCAACAGCTAACACAGGTGTGTGCTTCTCATGAGCCAGGGAAATGCTGCTAATGCTGTGAGTGCACTCAGCCTATGACATCTCATTGTGCCCGTTTTATAGATGAAGCCAGAAGGCATGGAGAGGATGAGCGCCTTGCCCAGGCCACGCTGTCTGCGTCACCAGCACACACCCACGCTCCCCTCCCTGACCGCTCCCCCCCCCACCCCATGGCTCTCAGTCAATTTCCAACATGCATGCTGGGTCCCACCCACTCAGGGAGGTCAAAGGGTCCAGCAGTGCTCAGAGTCCACTCCGAGGATGCTGCTCTGGTTTTTTCTGCTGTATAGCTAGGACTTGCAAACCTAGACAGACATCAGGTCCGGCCACTCTCCAGGAATCAACGAGCCTTTCCCATCTGTTCCCCTCGCGCCCACAGGTCTCCTCTCCACTCACACCGTCCCAGTAGGCAGAGGAGGAGAGGAGGGCCACCCTGCACCTCATACACTCTGCCGGACGAGCCTCAGGCAGAGCCACGCGGGGAAGTGAGAGGGAGCCCCTTTAGCTGTCACTGTGAGAAGGCTCCTGGTGTAGTTCCTGACAGAGGAAGCCTTGAGAGATCGCTGTGCCTACCCACTCATCGGGCACCTCCCCCTGCGGGCCAGCCCCTTCTCCCCGCACAGAATTCCAGGCAGAGCTCGCGACCTGACTGGGCCGCTGTAAAGAGAACATTCTCCCTCCTTTGAGCTGAAATCTCTTCCTGCTGGCTTGAAGAAGCTGAAGTCAAAGTCCCCAATACCTACCTGCCCTTCGAAGAGTTCATGCACACTCCTCTCCTTTGAGGGGTCTCTCCTCCAGACCTGTACCCACAGTTCCTTCCACACACTCTCTTTCACCTTTCACCTCCATGTTAAGTGTCCTTTAAATTACACTTATGCCTTATAGGTTGCAAATATCGTCCTCTTATTTGTCATTTGCTTTTCCACCCCTTGTGTTAAATCAGCTAGCCCATTTTCAAAAGGTTCTTTCTTTGCCTTTATGTAAGTCTAGAAAGCCTGTCCTTATTTTCAAATGGTAAAATATTTGAAATATCCTCTAAGCCTCTTCCTAATAATTTGGGATGCAATTGGTTAGATTTACCTCTGTAGTCCAGTTGTCATTACTCTATATATGGTAACCACCGAGATTTACATTCTCACATCTGGACTGCATGTGAACAAGCCCCAGTGATCACATGTTCTAACTAGGAGCGCGGCACTGAGGTAAAGACCACGCCACATCAAATATGGTCTGGGAGTCTGTGTTGTATGAGGTTCTACTGGATGTTCTCAGTTATAGAAAAATGAGAGTTCCAAATGGTTGGCATTTATTCTAAATGCAAGTAACTGCACATTGTCAGAAAGTATCAGTCATACCCAGGCTGGCAGTGTCCGTGCTTGCTTTCAAGACACGTTAAAAGCAACATCTGTAAGAAGTCATACTTCAATGTGATTAAAAATCAAGCCAAAGAACATGAATCTAGGCAATTCCTGACCATTCACCCATTTTCTACAGCAGTGAACACAGCTCCTTTATTGGAACATGGCACAAGAAGTCATTTTTTAAATCTCAAATATTTCATACTCCTCCATGCCTTGTTCCAGCCATTGGGATGTGTATCAAGGTGCAGCCTGCTATTAAAGAAGTACCAGCTCCATAATGACATATCTTTGTTCAGATTAAAAAAAAAAAATTCTATGGGTTTTCATGACACTATATGAGCAGCAAAATTCCCAGCCCTGCTGTTTAAGAACTGGACCAGTTACTTACACCCTCAGTTTTCTCATCTGTAGCCTGGGATAACAGGGGATCCTGTACAGGGATTACCTAGCATAACGTCTGGGGCTCAGTAGGCACTTAACATTGGGGATAAGTTATCACTGCATGTTTAAAAGGATGTCTCAGGTTACTACATCAGCAGATTGTGGCAGGCTCTCCTCCAGCCCCGCCCACCCTACAGATACAGTATAAAGAAGGGGTTTAACAGAGGGAAGGCTGGCCTGAGCAGGCCTGTCACCACCTCCTACTTGAACTAGCTGCCACTGGTTGCCTCCCAGTATCCATCTCATGGGAGAAAGAGGTGCTGCCCAAGCAAGGAGAAATGCAATGCTAAAAACACCCCACATCTCTACCAGCTTAATGAGTGACTTCAGTCTTGGGAGATCCCAGAGTCCTTTTCAGGGGATCCCCTAGGTCAAAACTGTTTTCATAATTATACTAAGCTATTATTTGCCTTTGTCACGGAGCTAATATTTCAATGACGGTGATGCCTAAAGGTGGATTAGCTGTCAGGGACATGCAAATCAAAAGTACATGAGAGCCCAGCTGACGTGCCTTAGTGATTGAGCATTGACCTATGATCCAGGAGATCGTGGTTCAATTCCCTGTCAGGGCACATGCCCAGGTTGCAGGCTTGATCCCCAGTGAGGGGCATGTAGGAGGCAGCCAATCAATGACTCTCTCATCACTGATGTTTCTATTTCTCTCTCTCCCTTCCTCTCTCTGAAATCAATAAAGACTTTAAAAAAAAAAAAGTACATGAGAGCCCTGGCCAGGTAGCTCAGTTGTGAGAGTGTCATCCCCATACACCAAGGTTGTGGGTTCAATCCCCGGTCAGGGCACATAAAAGAATCAACGAATGAATGCATGAATAAATGGCACAACAAATCGGCTTCTTTCTCTCTCTCTAACCAATTAAAATGTGCAAGAGATTCCACTCCGCACCCACTAGGATGGCTATGCTCAGAAAGACAAGTGATGGAGTGTTGGTGAGGGCAAGGAGAAATTGCAGCCTCACACACCACTGGTGGGAATGTAAAATAATGCAGCCACACTGGAAAACAGGCTGGGGGTGCCAACGACTGGATGAACTTGATTACTCAGAGAAACAAACAGGGTATTATCTGTCCATAAAAAGGATTCAAGAATCGATAAATGCCAAGGCATGAAACAATCTTAGAAGCCAATGACAAAGGTCGCATACTGCATGGTTCAATTCATATGAAATGACCATAACAGGCCTAATGGATATAAGGTTTTTCAGGGGAGACAGTGCTAAAAAATGTTTTAAAGTTGATCATGGTGAGGGTTTCACAACTTTGTGAATATACTAGAAGCTACTGAATGGGTAGCTTTTAGTATATGGGTAAATTTTATGATAGTGTGAATTATGTCTCAATAAAACTATAAAATATGTATGTGTGTGTGTATATATATATATATATATATACATACACATACATATATATAAAACAACAAAGGTGGGCAAAAGGGCTGTTGCCTTAACAGATCAATGCAGTGGCACCAAACTATATCAATAATTATAGAATTATAGTCCTCACCCAGCTGGCATTGCTCAGTGGTTGAGAGTCAACCCATGAAGCAGGTCACAGTTCAATTCCCGGTCAGGGTACATGCCTGGGTTGTGGGCTCAATCCTTCCCCCCCCCCCGGGAGGGGGGGGTGCAGGAGGCAGCCGATCAATGACTCTCTCTCTCATCATGATCTTTCTATCTCTCTCCCCATCTCCCTTCATCTCTGAAATAAAATTTAAGAAACATAAAAGCACTTCTCCTGTATACCAAAACATGACTATTTCCAGGGAAAGGCACTTGCAAGACTGTTTAAGCTGCATGCTAGCTGCTTTTTTCATGGAATGCCATTTTTTATTTGAAAGAACCACCAATACAGTTATTTGTCGGCCATTTTCTCAAAAATGAATAAAGTAAGCCTGTCAAGGAAAATAACTAGTAGTTATTGCTACCAATGATAGAATGCACAATTTCAAGCAAAAAATTACAATTCTGAAAAACCTATACCTGCCACCATGAGTCTGACAGCCTCTGACACTTAAGGACTTTCTGATGAGGTGGGTGGAGCTGTGGGGCTCTTTGATCCCACACATGAAAGGTGCCAACAATTGGAACAGGTGCATAACTCAGTGAACCATTATTTGCCAAACGATCAATACCTGATATTACAAAATCTTGAGTGGGTAAGAGATCCGTTCAAAGTAGAAGGCAAACCAATGGACTGTAATAGAACCGTGTGAACAGTTCACTGATATAGGTTCAGGATCCTGTAACAACTGACCTTTAAGAAACTAGTATTGGTTGACTATGGAAGGAATGTCAAAGAATAAAATAATCTACAAAGGCTCCTCCCCTTTCCAGTTACGTATCTGTCTGAGACTGACTCTCTTCACATACGTCAAATAAAAAGGAATACTGTGAGAATGAATACAGAAGCAGACAAGAATGTACTTAAAAACATTTGAAGAGCCCGGCCGGACGTGGCTCAGTGGTTGAGCGTCAACCTAGGATCTGAAGATCTCAGTTCAATTCCCAGTCAGGGCACATGCCCAGGATGCGGGCTCGATCCTCAGTTGCGGGCATGCAGGAGGCAGCCGATCAATGACTCTCTCATCA